CGAGTGACCCTTAGTCAGCTTGTACCCGTAAATCGTGGCGTTCTTGTACGACTTGGAGATGGCAAACTTGCTCAGCAATTTCGGATTTTGGATGACCAAGGTATCGATGAACTCGTAGATTTGGTCGCTGGTGCGGAAGCAGTTGTGGAACGCACTGGTCGAGTACTGTCCGGCTTTGAGGGACGGGATGTAGTTGTCGTTTTGTTTGTGACACTCGCGGTTCAACACGGAATCGTCTACTCTAGCAGCATCCTCCTTCAACGATCGAGCGCGGTCGTCGATGTCCGCGACGGCGTTGTTGGTTTGGGCGGTGGCCGCCGCAGCGAAGAGGGCAATGGCACTCAGGAGGGAGAACTTCATGGCAAAATGAATAATGAGGAATGGTATTGTTGGCTACCAAAACGCCCTGCAATAGGTTCGTTATTGTGTGGTAGGAATTTGGAAGGAATTATGAGACGGATAGGGGGGTGTAATGACCTTCGCAGCTTGTTTGGGAATTCCTCCATTACATAATCTGGAACAATTCCCCGATTAAAACAGTTCCCTTGTTGTTTTGACCCGAAACACTGTTTCGATAAGGGAATTATGTCATCCGGATACACTTTGCCATCCCGTAGCAAGGGACTGCGTCCTTCCCCCGTTGAGTGCATAAAATGCTAATAATAATACCCGGGGTGAACTGCATCACCAGTGGTCAGCTAGTTAGTATTGCTAACCAGTGAGATGCACTTACAGTTAACCCCTAGTAAGAGGTGAGGTGGTCAGAGTATATTAAATCCCTTACGCAGTTGTAAACGAAAATTTATGAGAAAAGAAACAGTGGAATTGTTTTAATCGGGGATTTGCACCATACTAGCCTGGGATACCGGTCATTGTATCTGATCTATACCCATGCGACAATCGGTGTCTGATATATATAAGTTAAGACGAAAATAATGAATGCCTGCCCTCGTATTGACCCACCAGGGTTTCAACCGGTGATTGGTATACTGTACTGTGAGTTTATTTATATCAACGCAGTTGGTAACCACCTCTTGTCATGCGATGACCAATTCGCCGAGTGAGTGGGTGACACACCTACTCAATTGGTCAAATGCCCAATCACTCAGGGTGTTTGGTACTATTGACCTAAAACGTCCCTGAGTAAGTTGGTGGGACTAATTGCTTGCTACGATAAGAACAATCCTAAAGTACAATCCTAACGTTAACGTTAAACACAGTTACGAAGGCGTACAACGTTGTACAACGTTATATCGTACCAAGGGTGAATACTACACTACTAGTACTACTGAAGTAGCGTTAAACAGTATTCTATGTAAGCTGCACCATTGCTGGTAGTAATTCGTGGTAATTCCTCCGAGTAGTAAATTGATGGGATTTGAATACTTCATCACTTAAATTAAGCTTACACCACACAAGGCGACAGCAGCCATGAGTAAGTAGCCTATCGGGGAAATGCTATAATAATGTCACTAGGCTTAGTGGCAGTGATATACACGAACGACGAAAGTACATTTCGACAACTACAAATGTCACTACTTAACGTACCATTGGGGATGCCCGATCGTGGAATGGTCGCGGAATATTTCCGTCCATACAAGGGGCTGGTCGCGGAATATAGCTATGTTGATGAGATGAATGCAACAAGTACAGGGGAGTGGCTACATGCTTATTGGGGCTACGCTGTGCCCTTACTGTATGTAAGGTTTAGCTAATGAGATGTGACTACACTATACGTAGCTACGCAGCTAACTACAGTACAAGAGTGCAGCTGCAATACAATAATATCGGCTTGGATCTAGCCACAATAACGTACTACTATTAATAGTACTACATACTAGTACTTCGAAGTACTACGTAGTATTATTAATAATAGTTAGTATTTATTTACCTGCTCAATTATGGCGATACATCAGAGTTGTATGCCTTCGTAACGTTAGGATTGTACTTATCGTAGCAAGCAATTAGTCCCACCCACTTACTCAGGGACGTTTTAGGTCAATAGTACCAAACTCCCTGAGTGTGTGGGCATTTGACCAATGGAGTGGGTGTGTCACCCACTCACTCGGGGAATTGGTCTCATGCGAGAGATCATAACCCTGAAAAACGTTCAACAAATCTGAATACCATTCAGCCAAGACTGAAAACCGTTCAAACTAATAAACTCTAGTTAGATGATGCATATTTTTTGTACTCTGACCATCTCAATTAACCCTGGGGATTTAGCATTATACTTCGAAGTATGTGCACGCGGGGGTAGGACAAAGTCCCGGGATTACAGGGTTACGGGGGAAAAATTTGCTGGAACGGTTTTCAGTCTTGGTTGAACAGTATCCAGATTTACTACGTTTTCCCATAGTTTCCATCATAACGTTAGTCCAAATTTCATACTAGTATACTTTATCCAAGGCAGCAGAGTCCATTTTTTGGTCGTCCATCCGGGGGAGTACACCTGAGGGAGGGGGGGGAATAGCTCAGGTGGTAGAGCATCGGTTTCTTAACTCAAAGGTCGTGGGTTCGATCCCCGGCTTCCCCGGATTATTTCCGCAAGGAATTATCCGTCCCTCCCCTGGGGAATCCGGATAACAAGGGCTGCGTACGAAGACGAGGACCGAACTTCGAAGAAGATCGGTCGAAGCACGAGGTATGAAGCGTTGAGGGAAGTAAAAACCGAAGATTACACACCGCCCCTGGTTAATTGAGTTTGGATTATCATTTTTAAGACATTCCTCGCGAGGGCCGACACTAGAACCACATGTTATGGAACCGCTTCGCCAATTGTAACGCGCCTGCTCGACCAGGGGCGGTGTGTAATCTTCGGTTTTTACTTCGCTCAACGCTTCATACCTCGTCCTTCGACCGATCTTCTTCGAAGTTCGGTACGCGGCCCTTGTTATCCCGATTCCCCAGGGCGGGACGGATAAATCCTTCCGGGGATCGAACCCACGACCATTATTGAGTTAATAAACCGACGCTCTACTACCTGAGCTATTTCCCCCCCTCATAGCAACCGGGTGGTATTTCAGCGTTGATATCATGAAGTCCGATGGTCATCCGCCCCGCAGCTTACAATGGGTTACTGTGGGTACCTGACCACAAAGAGGAT